TTTTTACTAAATATTATTATTGTTTATTTTATATAAGTAAAAAGTAAATATATATTTATTAAATATATATTTAATAAAAATGATAACAAGATCTAATACTATACAATAAAAAGATTAAGTCATTTCAATCTTTTTGCCATGTAACTTAAATTTATAAGTCTTATAAGTCTTATAATGTTTAGCCATCTAGAAGACGAGGTATAAGGCTTTAACATTTATTTATCAATCGGTAACGATAACTTGTCTGGAGTGTGTCGACATCACTCGTTGCATCGCAGTTACAAGAAAGCGATGTAACCATATTATGTAATGTAATATTAAGATATATTACAACAATACATGTTACTTAAAAACAAATAAAATAGAGATTACATAAATGCATTTTTTCTACACTTAACAAAAGAAAATAATAAATATAAAAAATAATAATAAAAGTTCCGTTTTTCTTTCATTTTTTAAACAAGAAAATTTTGGTTAATAATATATTTTCAAAATAAAAATATATATATATAGTATGCTACATTTTTAAGACTGCATGATAAAAATAGAAAATATCAACAGCTATAAAAATGATAAATTTAAATAATCCAGAATCAAAGATTTTGCAAACTATGAGCTCATGTCAGGAGTGATTGCAGATGTGATTAGAAAGCCGATTTAAATTTGCATACCGACAATACATACGTAATATCTCTCAACACACACAACTCACATAAATCACACACCGGAGATAAAAATGTTATGGAGAAGAATGTTATGAAGAAGATAATTATACATAAAGGATAAAATCAATAGTTGCTCATTAATATTTATTAGACAGATACACTTCGGCTTTACATTGAATATTTGTGCGTAGCGTATATAATTTAGCGGCCAATTTTATCATCAGACTTTTCTTACGTATTTTTATATTTAGTTAATAATTAGAATTTTTTGCACATCTTTATCTTTATTCTCTCGTCGTTAAGAAAAGAGTTGCATTGCATTACATTACATTATTTTTTTATTAGGAAAACTAAACAAAATTCACGTTAGTAATCTAACGGTTAGCTTGACGGTTAGTAATCTACTTTGCTTGGTTTCTTGGTGTTTATCCAGAATCCAGTGATTACCTAGGACAGTCTTACTCCGCTGGATCCAGGGCACTCGCCTTTGCTCTTCACGACCAATTCTACGATTAAGGATACAAGGTGATCAATGCAATTAATCTAACGTAATTTAACGTAACATTTTCGTGCTTTCGTGCGCTTACTCGTGCCCATCTCGCAGTTGTGAACGTCCAGAGCGCATGATGTGCCGAAGGTTCTCGGCTTGAAGCTGGAATCGGCAGGATCATGTACGCAAACAGGATCGTAGTCAGTCCCGCAATCTCGCGCGCAATCCTTCTTATTTTTCTTCGCCTCCTTGGCCGCCTTGATGGCATCCTTTACGTCTTTCGACGCAGTCGCTGCTTCTTTGATATCTTTAGGCTCCTTTATCTTTTCCATCGCTTTCGCATCGTCGGGAAATGCATACGTCTCCTCGCATAATGTGAACATGCTGAGGAACGCAAAGGCTAGCGTACAAAAAAATTGAAGATAATTTAATCTTGAATCCAATGTTTCCTACATATCGCAAATCAAATAATCTAAGTGAAAGTTTTTTTTTAAATAAATAAATTTCAAATGCAATTGGCGGGTTTATGAATTACCTTCGGATTTTCTTGAACAGAAAAATTGATTATATTCTTTGATGATTGTAAAGAATAATAGAGTAGTAGAGTAAAGTATTGATTTAGAATAATTAATGCAGTTCTTAAAAGCCTTTCTATTCATTATAAACGAGATGATGTTACGTAAATCCATTGGCAGAGGCTTAGTCTCTCGCTAGGATGCTGCGCGGCCTTAATACGCGTCTCTATTGAATGATTGCGGCTTTATTGAAATCAAGGTTTATTTTAAACTGAGATCAGCCCGCTCCTTGTGGTGATTGCGACGTTTCTTCGCTCAAGGTCGTTTACGCCCACGCCCATTTAAAGAGATTTTTTTCGACCTGTGTGGTCAGACCTCTTCGAAAATTTTAAATTCTCTTGTGTAAATAATACAGTTGCAATTTCAATCCTTCATAAATAATTAATTTAAAAAGAAACACGCTCGCCTGATCTCATGTCGAAGACTGATGTCAAATTGAATTGAATTTTAATATTGCAATAATATTAACTATCAGAGAGAGAGAGAGAGAGAGAGAGAGAGAGAGAGAGAGAGAGAGAGAAGAA